GTTTGATGATATATGTAGGGTTCAGCCTCCTGACGAGTCAGTGAAACTCTGATGAAACAGTTTGTTACAGCCCCTCGTTTGTTGTCCTCTTCTCCCTCTCTGCCTACGGTTTACCGGGCAGCTCTGTTCGACTATATATATCGTCAAACATATGTGTGTGTGTGTGTGTGTGTGTGTGTGTGTGTGTGTGTGTGTGTGTGTATGTGTGTGTGTGTGTGTGTGTTGAATTTTCACCAAAACAGCCCCTATTCCACCCAGATGAGCAGATCCAAAATGAAAGCATATTAAATCCTACTACAAACAACGAAAGCCCTTGAGTTGAGACAATCCAACAATGAAACAGTTTCACCTCTATAGCAAGCAACTTGAACTTCAATAGAGGCATGTAAACCCATTTCTTAATTCTGTTCACGTTTGCTTTGTGTGTGTGTGTGTGTGTGTGTGTGTGTGTGTGTGTGTGTGTGTGTGTGTGTATTCTGGCTGTCTCAGGTTCTGGACTTTTCAAGAGGCAGGGGTTTAAGGGTGCATTGAAGGAGGCAGGATCTTCCGCAAAGGTATTTTCGCAGTGGATAGCCGTTCCTTTTTTTTTTTTTTTTTATTTTATTTGGAAGGGCGATGGCCTTGATATATATCACTTTTGAACTCACCGGCCCCCAGTAAATTCAAAGGTATTTTTACTCGTTTAATGGCATTGAAATTCAAATTCAGGTCTGCGTTTCAACAGTTGATAGGTGTACGGACAACTGGTCTAGACAGTCGGTTGGTGGATAGCAGTTCTGCTGATTGTTGTAACTGCGATGTTTTATTTACGCAATTTGCTGTCTATACTTCGGTTGGAGACAGACTTGAACTCAGGATCTTCCACAGACAAACACTCGGGTATACATACATCTCCAAGTCGACGCACAGAATCACAAGACACAGCAAAACATACTTAGACTCGGGAACGTGTCCTTCTCGACATCCATTAAAATTTGAACGATACATAGAAGATGATTAATTAGCATGGCCCCTGAGCTGGGGTGGAGCATTGAGAGGGTTCTTCTATGTATCTCTCCTCCCTGTTCATTGGTTTGAGTTCGAATCTCAGTGTGCATTGTCTCTTTCCATAGCATATGTATTGCTGGATCTGCACGTTTGATTGGGTCTTTCACAGTGCTCTTCCCTTGGGATTGACTTGGGATTGACTTGGCTTCCAGCACGTTTGACTTAGTGATCTTGCACATGCAACACTGGTGTCGAAGCAAGTCCTGGGAATGGACCACGAATGCGGCATGCAGATGGAGCGTCAGGCTTACTGAATGATTGACTGGTTGGTTGACTGATTGATCGATTGGTTGGTGATTGATTAGTCGATTGATTGTTTGATTGATTGGTTGATCATTTTGCAAGGAATGCGTGGAGATGAAACTCTCATGTACAATTGTTGGCTCAGCGCCTGAGCACACATGCACAAGATATCAACAATACTGAAGTCCCTTATTGAAGAAAGGCCCCATCTTGCCTCCAGTCAAACAGTACACCAACAATAATAGTAGCACTTTCGCAATGCAAGCGATCACTGGCTAATATGACCAACCCTACACGCTATTCTACTACTATAGCCTACTCTTTTTTTTTATTTTTATTGTTGAGTTACTACTATAGCTGCAAGGAAAATGAGCGATAGCGAACTTCAGAAAACAAACAGCATCATACACATGAGACCAGATAGTCGTGACCTCGAACCAATAGCAGAATTGCAGCACAAGTTCCACCAAATAAGAGCACAGCAAAAGCTCATAGTTGACAATGCTGGAATAGTCTCATTATCATCAACAAAGAGCCAATGTCGATAGCCTATCTAGCGCTTGGTGCCCGGACTACAAATGGCAGATCCTATCTAGCCTATCTACAATGCCGCTGATGACGTCAACAGCTCCCCGAGGTACGAGCAGATCTCAGCCAATGCCATACGCTTCAAGCACCAGGTATGTCTCTTGTATCACTCACAACCTCGTTCCCCAACTCACAGATGCCACGTGCACCCAAGGACCACCATGCGCCCCACGCAGCTTACAGCAACGCAGCTCGGCTATGGCTGCCTGCTCCTTCCAGCTCGCCCGTGAGCGCGTGAGCACTGGCCAGCGTCAGCGCAGCAGCGCTTGCGCAGCATGCAGCCAGTGCCCGAATGTGCAATGCGTGGGCAGGCCCTTCCCTATATCGAAGTGGCCTGCTGCATGCGTGCCGTAATGCGGTACTGGGCCCCGGCCCAGAAGCTTCCGGTAGGCCCCACAAGGCTGAGCCTCAGTCCAGAGGAAACAGGCCCAGGGCCTGTGGTGGTCACTGGCGCCCAACCGCCCTCAGCCTTTGTTCGGTCCATGTTGTGTATCCGGCCCAGGGCCTGCCTCAGTTACGTACGATGAAAGGCAGCCTGGGCCTGGGCGCTTCCAGCCAACTGGCGCTGCGCAACTGCCTGAATTTCCCCAGTTGCGTAACCCCAAAAATGGCCTGTAGGTCTTGGTCGAGCCTGCCTTCACTTAGGGTGGCCGGCTGTGCTGAAAATAGGGCTCAGTAGGGTGTATCGAGGCCTCATGCCTAGCATAGCCTACTCTTTTTATTTTTTTTTTAATTGTTGAGTTACTACTATAGCCTACTCTTTTTTTTTTTTTTAATTGTCGAGTTACTACTATCTACGTAGCACCGTGTTTGCGTTCGGAGGTGAACGCGAACATGTTCGCCCGAACGCGAACAAGCGCCCAAAACCCTCCGAACGCGAACATAAAAAATATTAAAAAAAAAAAAAGAAAAAGTTCTCAGAAAAATCTGAAAAAAATATATGTTATGTAAAATAACAAAACAAGCAACTTTTGCCTTGGAATCATGTTCAAATTCGTAACCAATCATGAGTTAAAAATCAAAAACCGAAAAAAACATCTTTTTTTTTTTTTTTTTTTTTTACGAAAAAGAAAAATGTTCGCCCGAACATGTTCGCGAGCTGTTCGCGCGAACAGGAAGGGGCGCGAACACGTTCGCCGTGCTACGCTACACTTCTTTTCTTTAATTGTTGAGCTACTACTATAGCCTACTCTTCTTTTTTTTAAATTGTTGAGGTACTACTATAGCCTACTCTTCTTTTTTTTAAATGTCGAGTTACTACTATAGCCTACCTTTTTTTCTTTAAAAAAAAAAGAAAGGTCGAACCATGGCCTACTCTTAATTGTTTACTTGCGGTGTCAAAGCAAGTACCCTGACAAGGGTAATTGCCGGGGGTTTCAAACGTCGGACGCTGTCCGATTTATTTTTGTTGAATTGAAGGACTTGATGAGACTGACGTTTGTCGAAATTCGTTCAGACTAACTTATGACCGAGAGACTGTAACTTCTTTGAACTTTAGCTCGGACGAGTGCGTCGCCCGGAAAGTAATGACGGTAGTCGGCAGTTTCTAGCAAGCCGCAGAAGAGCGCGGACATGGGAACGCTAGAGCTAGACCTATTCTACCTAAAATAATGCAGCAGCCGAGCGATTCAGAGCCTAAGTAGGCTAAACGGAGGGTCGTGCCGGATATGGGAGGTCGCTCAGGCTATCGATAGATAATCGGCCACGGAAAAGGGTGGCAACAGGCCGATGCCGAGGCCTACCCGGTTAGGTGACCAATCAAGCCGTGGTCACTCGGCTAACCGATGGGGCAGGGCCAGCAAGCGAGGCCTGTTAGGCCTCAAGCAGGTGAGGCCTGCAGGGCCACAGGCAGGCAGGGCTTGCAAGGCCACCGGCAGGGGGGATAGCAACTGGGCAAGCTCCTCTTGTAGAAGAGCTGCTCCTATCACTGTCGTGATAAGAGCTAGCCCAGTAGGATATCATGCCAGACTCTTACCCAGCGGGTACCGGGATCGAACCGACATGACACTACTTGGGCTAGCTCCTTTTGGAGCAGCCCGCCGTAGTGCGATCGGGTGCAACCGATTTTGGCCGCATGATCATGAAGATCATGTGGCGGAAATCCGCTGTGCAGAACAGCATGGCATCTGCGCAAGGATGACACACATGAATCAAAAAATGATCCCAGTTGGGATCGAACTTGGGCCTGTATCTCAGCAGTTCGTGGGACAAGACCGTTGGCTGAAGCCAACGGAAAAGAAAAAGGAAAAAACAACAACAACAACTTAAGATTGACTACAGCTGGAGCGCCAGCTGGCGCAATGAGAAGTGACTGGGGCGTTTTAAGCCCCAGTGCACTTGATAGTCGCCCGCGGAAACGGGCGACCGTTTTTCTGCAAAATTTAAGTTATTTCGTTTTTTGATTTTTTTCTTTTTGTTTTTTTTTAGATTTTCATTAGATTTCTTCTTTTAGATTCTTTTTAGATTTTCTTTAGTTACTGTTTAGATTCTTTATTTTTCCTTGATTTGTGAATTTAGTAAATTGCTTGACGAACGGGCTGCCACCTTGTAGGATGAGCAAGATCAAACGAATCTGCCGCAAAAGTGCGGCTATATTCGGGTGCAGGCCTTGGGGCCTTGTAGTTGAGTTACGAGGGACTCTCTGCACTCCTCCAGTTGCGAGGCACGGACGAATCGTTCTCTGGGGGCCGAACGAATGTTTTGTGGCGCCTCTCTCTCTCTGAGGGCTGTCCCGACAACTCGCTCAGAGCTGGCAGGTTTCACACACACACATACAGAGAGAGAGAGAGAGAGAGAGAGAGAGAGAGAGAGAGAGAGAGAGAGAGAGAGAGAGAGAGAGAGAGAGAGAGAGAGAGNGAGAGAGAGAGAGAGAGAGAGAGAGAGAGAGAGAGAGAGAGAGAGAGAGAGAGAGAGAGGGGCCAGCCAACAGGTAAGTGGCGCCTGTTCATTTTTTTAACGGGCAGCTTTCTTAAGCCGCGCATTTGAGCCAAATACAGGCGCGGGGCAGGGGGAAAACCTAGCTGAGCTTAACTCTAGTTCGACTCTGTTTTACATAACTGAGAGAAGGGGTGACCGTTCATTTTGAACGGCGAGTTGCCCCCTACACAAGAGAAACGAGGGGGCAGGAAAGGTGAAAAGGAAGAAGAAAAAGAGAAGGGAAAAAAAAAGTAACGGCCGCGAATATGGCCGTGGCCGTAGGACAAGTGCATCCTCAGAAGATTCCAGGGGGTGATGAGACTGCGCCTGTTCGTTTTTTGAACAGGCTGCAGTCTGGCTGGGTACAGCCATTTCCAGGAGTACCCAGCCTGAGGAAATGTCCATGTGCTTCAGGGAATGGATGACCTCGGTTTCCCTAGGGGAAAACCAAGGCACTGGAGCACGAACGAATTTTGCCTAGCTGTGGGCAAGACAACTGCCCACATGCCTTCGGCTGGCTATAAAAGCCAGCACTCCACCCAGCAGCCTCACACTTGTGGCAGTGCTGCTGGGGCATTCACTTGAGTGAATGCTGGTTGGCTGCTATTGTGGGGCGGTGCTGCGGGGGAGGAGGAGAGGAAGTGGGGCTGGTGAAGGAAGTGGAGGTCTGCAGGATGAGGGGAGACGATGCTGGAGGAGTGCGGCCAGGGCAGCCATACCCGAGGCTGGGAGCTCACTGCCCCATCTCTACATGGGTACCGCAGCCGGTGGGCTGCGTCAGGGCTGGACGGTGTAGTGAACGGTAAGGATTGTCAGGGGTTGTGCTGCCGAAATCTTGGCTCAGCGGCAGCCTTTCTTTTGAGGGGGAAGTGTTGCCATTATTTTGGCATGGCGGCAATAACACTGATAGAGGGGGAATGCTTCCGGAATTGCAGCGCGGCGATATCGAGGACTCCCTAAGGGAAGGTACTGCCCGTTTGGCAGGAGGACCACGACGATATTTTCTTGTGGGGTCATGCTGCAAAATTTTGGGCACGTCGACGAATTTTTTTTTTTTTTGAAGGCCATTGCTGTCAGATTACTATGGTGTAGTGGAGCCGTCATCTTGGTGTGTGGCCAAACGAGAGTGCTGCGAGGTAGTTGTGGTATCGATTTTTGACGGTGCGGCGAGCGGTAATCCCGCCTCTGTTTTTTTGTGGTGCGCAACGGTCTGGAAAATTTTGACATGGTGGAAAGGATGGACTGGCAGTGGTGCACGATTAGGAACGTGCGGCAATGATGCGTGAACCATCGGCATGAAGAGAGCGAGAAATGAGTGCTCGCGACAGTGGCTATTGGAGTTGCGACACTTGCGGTTTGCGTTGGAAGGACATCTTTATTTTTTTTTTATGCTCGCGACACATGTGGTTTTCAGCCAGGGCCACCTTTTTTTTTTCCTGTGGCGTGCAGTGCGAGTGGTTTTCAGTTCTGAACCATCTGGTATTGCAGGGATGGCGTGGGACTACATTGGGACCATCTGGGACTATTTTGGGACCAGGTGAGATTGATTTTGAGATCGGAACCGGCAAGTTGGTGTGACTATTGTGAGCTGACGTGGTGATTGGAGGCGGCGTGGATTTGCAAGTTGGTTTGGGATAGATCCTTGGAGGTCATGGTGGATTTGGGACAATCTCGGGAGATTGTGACGTAGTCAGGGACTATGTAGGGCACTGAGACCACGGGAGACTGATCCTTGAGAACACCCTCCTCGAGGGTTATCTCATAGAGTGTTTTCAGTGGACCTGAGCTTGCTCATTCGGGCATTTGAAGAGAGAGGCGGACCGTCGTTTAGTGGAACTGCCACGGGCACTGGGACCATGTGAGACTGATCCTTGAGAACACCCTCCTCGAGGGTTATCTCATAGAGTCTTTTCAATGGACCTGACCTTGCTCATTCGGGCATTTGAAGAGAGAGGCGGACCGTCGTTTAGTGGAACTGCCACGAGTTGTGGAGTTGTGGCCTCATAGTTTGAAGTTCAACGATGATTAACTTTTATTTGATTGAAATACTACTCGGCTTTCTTGAGTGAGCCGGATCAAACTTCACTCAAGGTTAGTCAGTTGATTGACTTAGAATTCCCTTCACACCTGTGTGAACCCATACTTTGCTTGACACTGTTCATTGAATGTTCGTTGAAAAGGTGAAGGGAAGTTGTGCGAGTCATGCATGTGAATGGAAAAGTCCGACTTGTGTATGGGGTTGCATTGGTTTCCTTTGAACTTGATTGTTTTGCTTTGAGTGCAAGTAGGTAAAAAGAGATGCTTAAAAGGGAGATCGATTTTGCCTATTGGAGAAAAGAAAAAGGATTGTCTTCTTTTACTTCTCACCTGTTTGCATGTCAAAAATGATTTGTTGTTTTTAAAATGATTAATTCATCGCGTGTCGTAAAATGAATGCGATTGAAAAAAAGCAGATAAGGTCAAAAGAACTTAGCCTTTTCCTAAGGTTTACCCGTTCTATCCCGAATCACCTTTACTACCTGTACCCGTCCAAATGATACTCATTTTGTATCTTCTCCTAACTCTTTTCGTCCAAGTTACCCTGAACTTGGAAGAAGCGAGAATAATTGAAAACTACTGGCAGTGGACACACATTCTTCCTCTCTAGGAAGCATCCGGGGCGGGGGTTCGTTGCTTCAGGAGCCGGCCCTGTTATCGACCCAGAGC